TTATTACAATAATATGTATACATTTTATACTTTTTTTTATGATATGTTTCTATACCATTTTGCTGACATTTGACCTTTTTTCCGACAGTTAATATTATTAACAAGCGTATTCTATACATAATATTCTGCATAACCTCATAAAATAGTATATAAGATAAGCTAATTTTTAGTGATATGCAATTATAATAATATTGTACACTGCTCGTTAAATCATAATGTAATAATGTATTTGCAGAGCAAAGGATCTATAAGCTAAATTTAATTAGGCCTTTATGGATTTTATTAAAACCATTTAACTAGTCAGGCTTCACGCATTACAAATCCTCGGAAATTGGGATTATCGCTAATCCTTACAGACGTGATTTTATTTAACATATTTCCATTATGGTTAGGCTTAAATATTTGGACGGAGCTCATTTTGAATAATACTTGTCTCCTATAGTATTGTTCTCTGGTACTTCCTATGTAACGTTTTTTATTAGCAGTTTTTTGTGTCTCTTATAATATTATGTTACAAGTAATTTAAATATATTTAATATAAGTATATAAATATATAAGTTTTTTTGTTTTCAATGATCAATTTTCCGAAAACATCATTCCCGTTGTTATTTAAACTATATTTTGTTTTGTATACATATGAAAAGATTTAAATAAAAAAATTCTAATCAGACAATTTTAAATGCACAGCGGTTAAACCCAATTACCTAAAATGAATCTGGTATATATAATAATAAACGATATTATACATTATAACTATGGTAATCCAGATATTTGTTTGTGATAATAATGTTGGGGATTACCTATAATAATGGTTCTTACTCGGCGATCCCCGCAATTTTTGTCACACACAATAATTTGGTAGACCCTGTATGACAATAATATTAGCTATAACCCAACGACGGTTGATCAATATTTAAATTCAAAGCAATAATTAAAAATTCAGGACGGTGTGCCTACTTGCGGAAACTATTGAAAGAAATATTATGCTCCTCCGATATTATAATATTAATTGGATTTCTATAATTGGACATAAGACAGCTGGTGCAGCCAATCTGTATAAATAATATTTTGTAAGATATTGCTCGAAAATATTACAAACCGACAACGACTGCGAACAACATCGATCGAATATATTTTAGACCGTCGAACGGCGGACCTCGTATCCCCTCGATACACCGCACCCCGACAGGATTCACTTCGTCGTTTTTTTTTTTCGGTATATCCGGTATATAGCTGGTAGTCACGCCGACTCGGTATACATTTTGTAACCGTCGATAAGCGTTGCGTTTGTCTCGTTCGTGCGTAGATACACTGTTATATGGGTAGGCAATTTTGGCTGCACTCGGAACCGGCGCAATGCGACGGCGACCACAACCACGACCTTTTTTTAGGTTCGACATTATATTATATACCTAGGTAATAGTATAATATGTAAAACTTAAGGTTAGTATATATATATATAGGTGCCCAGCTCCGGTGAATAGTATATTAAATACCGCTTAAGCTCGAAAACCCCGGTGAAAGTCTGCGGTGATGGCGAGGTAGGGGGTACGTGAAGTCATTTCCGAACGTCGGCGATTGTTGAGACTAGTGGCGATGGAGGCAGGATGTGCCGCCAGTAATCGCTGTGGATCGTCTGCCGGCGGCGGGGTGGGAGTCGTGGATTGTCGTAATGAACGGAAATTTTTGCGGTTAATTAAAAACGATTTCGATCTGTGTACATTGCCCGCCCGACGAGGCGAACCCTAAGACTGCGTCGTCGTCGTCGTCGTCGTCGCCGCCGCTGGTTCGTTCAATACATTTTAATATGTATATAATATCATATTATACGCATGTATATATTGCCGGTGTGCGCTAGGAAAGTCAAACGGACCGGAAATAAAAGTGAAAAGGGGAAAAAAAAAGAATGAGGACAGAGGGAATAATACCATCGAGGTTGACCTTAATTACTCGCCGGCGGCGGGTTTGATGAGATAAAACACGACTAATAATTTAATAGGGTTTGTGCAGTTGACGGTTTCCGAGTATAATAATTATTTTAAACGGGGCGGCGACAAGACAAGTCATTTACATATATTTAATGTACATATTATTATTATTATTTTATTATATGTGTACACAGTGCAGAACAATTCGGTGGAATAAATATTGTGATTCACAAAATGCGCTTAGTCGATATATTATTACGTATTACAACTGTATTAGACATTGCGGTACACGACTAGGATAGTCCACATAACACGTTCGAGTGACTTCAACGCTATCGACATCGACATATCATTCGGTTTCGTTTGTACAATATATACCTATATACGTTTTTTATGACGTGACGTGAACTTTATCACGTACGTGTACTTACAAGATATATGAAAACGCACTGAAAATCGTAGGTACTTTCCTGTGAAACGTGGTTCGATTAACAGCAGAGCGATATCGATGATGCCATTTTGTCGAATGAAAAAAACGCAATCGAATGTCCTTACTATCGACAGGCACCTATTTTAGGTTACTGGTTAGGTTAGGTTATATGAGGTATGATATACCTATGATCTTAATAAAACCAATAATCGCTGCGTCGCTAGAATCGATGTTTATATTATGTGCCTCGCGGATCGTGCCGTTGTTCTTTTCGTCGTACCTACCTAAATCATTTTGTTTAATATTATTTTCTCTGTTTACATCTCACTACTGTCACCACCTTGTGGAAATGTGGAATCGTCGCCGTCGTTGATAACTTCTATAATATTATGGTGCAATGATATTAATATAATATTAATGCATGCTGCTATAGTTCACCTTTGTTTCCGCCTACGACGACTATTATAGTGACGGCGCTAAATTCTACACCATAAATTCTACACGACGGAATAATTTTTCATTGGATTAAAATCATTAAATCATGCAGGAATAAGACGAAGAAATTAATACCACGCCCTTTTATATACCTTTGACTTTATTTATGGGTAGTTAATATGCACACAAAAACGGTGCTCAGTTATAGGACGTATCATTACGTTATGGTAGGTTAGGTTAAACTTTTTTTTTTTTTTAATTTTAAATTCCAAGTAAGACACTTACTTATTATAATATTATCCTAATCGTCGTCAATTTTCTTTGGGAAGGGTGTTTGGTACGGTTATATCGAACACGTGTTTGGATGTGCAGCAAGGATTTGTCACTAAATACTAGTGTGGTCACCCACTCAGGAACACCACCCGGTGTTTGCAATCAAAATACATTTTTTGATTGAATTCAACCATCTCGCCACACCAAGTCTCTATAAAAATTTCTATTATTCATTTTGTTTGATAAAAATTAGATTTTATCAGATATTACAATAATAGTTCTTTCGGAATTATACTTTTAGAATTTATTTTTTATTTGTTATTAATTATTTTATATAGGTACAGTGGTACACGAAATCCATTTATGTTCAACCAACAGTTACATTAAGGGTCTGACTTAGGGCCTGGTCGCGATTTTTCAATATGGCCGCATTTTCATAAAATTTGAAAGGAATTTATAGTTTAGGTGCCAACCCCGCTCCCCTCAAGTATAAACGTTTCCACCAATCTAAAGCTACCAATACCTATTTGGGGGGTTGATGGGGTATTAAAATCGGTCGAAGACACAGTTTACAGGAAAAACTCTCACCATCGAGATTTGGTCCGATGTCCTTAATTTTTTTTGGGTGAGATAGAGGATATTTTGTTGCAGGGCGCATTGGACTCGATTTTTGATTACTCGCAAAAACAAACAATAAGACAAAAACTAAAAAAGTCGTAAAAATTGATAATTGAATTGTAACATAAGACTTAGAGAAAAAATAAGTTGGAACATCCAAGTCCAATGCGCCCTGTAGAAGTCTTCCTCTAGCTAACAAAAAAAATTACGGAAATCGGACCAATTACGAGGCGTGAGAGTAAGGCAACAATAACTTTATGTCAAGTACCACATTATTATAAGTACTAAATACGTATGGTTAATAAATTAATTAATCATTTTTTGTTTTACATTTTTTATACAACTTTAATCAGAATATAATATTTATCCTACAACGACAAAATAATAAAAATACTTTTAGAAAAAAAAATGTTTTATGAACTAAAAAATAGGTGATTACATTTTACAAATCGTCAGTTTTACACCAACTATACCGTTACATACAATGTATAGTATTATATTAGTATACAATATACATAGCTATATTATAAGTAAATAAATAAGTAAAATTAAAATGATAACTTGTATTTATTATAACAAGTTTGATGTCTTTTGTTGTAAATTTTAAATATTAATTTCCGGTGAGAGGAGAATGGTTGCAGCTTTCAATTTCGGCAGACAATAAAAAAAAAAACAATATTCAAGACCGAAAAATGTTTTAAGTTATTCAAAAATAAATCATTTTTTTTCTTGATACGTTTAAGTTTAATTGAATAAAAATGCATAGTTGTTAGCATTTTAAATATAATATCATTATCTCGAATGATTTCAATCAAATTCGATTAATATTGTCGTCGGACAGATTTAAGCTTCACCGATTGCCGATGCGCATTGACGATCGTACAAGAGTACGTGTTTAATACGGAAACAATGTAGAAAAAAAATACGGAGATCCTTTGCAAATGTTATACCGAATGATAAATGGACCTTTTACGTAGCAAAATGTTCATTCATTTGGACGTGTCCAACCTACTTCTTTTTAATACACTGGACACATCGCCTTGCTCTCGAGGCTGGTGGTATGGAAGGGTTGCGATCAGGATAATACTGAAATAGACCCCAGGCCTTGAAATTAGAAAACGCTTTTGGGATTTTGTTGTTTGTCTCCGGCGAAAGCTGTGGGGGAGGATAGATGGGAAAAAATGTCCTTATCGGTTGTCTGAAAGACAAATGTGCTTTGTAAACGAATAATATCCACGGTGAATAAATTTGTCTCCTGACATTCGTTTTTCCTGCAAGATTATTTTTAAAATTGTATATTTTTTTTCTCCCTCCAGGGATCCAAACGATCACGATGATAAGCCCGATTCCGGGTCCAAAGAGCGGAACAGGTTTCGAAGCGTCACGTGGGATGAATATGATCCGGTGCACCAAAAGTATTTAGAAATAAGTGAGTATCAAATTAGATTTAAAACGTCGAGATCGTCTGTTTTTTTTTTTTTTTTGAACGTATTATTTTGAAATTGTATACTTACTCGACACTCGTCTTGTGTTTTTACTCATTTATCATTTGGTTTGCTCAAAACTGCGTTTGAAGGAAACTGTAATTATTTATTTATTTTACCATTTCACTTTTTCATCAATTTTACACTATATAATAAACCGAAATACCATTCAAAATTGTGAAGCTCACGTTAAAATGAATCCAGCGCTATTGCTTTCTTGGGCACGTAACATTATTATATATTAATAAAGAACCAAAGTAGCATCGTCGTCAGAGATCAGAAATATCTTTTATACACAGTTTTCGGTGCGTAATTGGTTTCCTCTAATGTTTTCAGCTAACATTTCCTAAAATAATTTTTGCTTCAGTAAGTTAAATAAGATATTTAATATTTATTTCCACTGCCGCGAAACAACTACACTGCTGTTCAACTATATATACCTACCTACTGTTATTTAAGCGATTAACTGCAACGATATTTCTAAGCTTCTATAACCTATAAAACCAACAGAACGAATGAGATTACCACCATACAATATTCGTTGTCGAACAACTGCAAAACCACTAAGGCGCACAGAATTATTGTTTCGTTGAGTTATGCCTTATGTGTGATATTATTATGTGTTTTACTATTATTATTATTATTATTATTTGAACTGAACGGATTACGATTTTTCAAGGAATCGTATCAACCAAATATGCATAAGGGGTAGCCTGGTAGTGCAAGAATCATATTTTTTACAGTTATTTAATAATGTTTTTTAGATTTTCAACAGAGCTTATAATTATTTTGTTTTTGAAGTGAATACCGCATAGACGACGACGGACCGTTTAACACGTCTAACACGCTTTACGTCAAACTTAAATTAAATTAGTATTATATTTTTCATTTATACGATACTTTCATCCTTATATATTTATGTAAAATATTTTAACTTTTAGTTCCTTTCAATATCAGGTGCCCCCTGGTATATTATCAATGAATCACTTCATAAAGATATCTGCATTCCAACCTTAAATAATCTTGCTATGATGACCTACAAAAAAACACACAAAACATACAGTACTCACTCAAATCTTATAATCACTCAACAAATCAATCACATCCAAACGAATTCTAGGTAATCCATCCAGGCACCTGAAAAGGAACTGGTGTCCTACTCTCTCCTTAAATCGATTTCATTGGGTGCCGTCGGTGGGTAACTTTCCCCTTCCGTCAATCAAATCACATCAAATTTACTTATTGTATAACTTGTAAATACAGATTGTAAATATAAATTTTTTGTTCAATAAAAAAAAAAAACTTTTAATTCCAAAGTTAAATATTTATTTAAGTGCCTACTTACTCTAATCTACCTATCGTTTTTATTATCTCTATAAAATAATAACAGTCTGCTCGGACCATGTCCTACGACTAGACGTAATTGCTAATGTTCCCGCATAGTCGTATAAAACTATTTCGTATGAGAGCTAACTTGAAAATTGAATTATCGTACATGACTATAACTATGTTCCTAGAGCGTAAGTATTGATTTTCAAGTTCCTCGATACGCATTATAAGAGCACCTGCAGCCCCGAGACCTATCGTCTGATACCAAACTCCAACTTACTATCGTACATTCGTGCCCCCCTCACTGTACGACCGCCGAGCGGACGGATACTCAGTTATTAATTCATATAATTTAAGTCTGTTTGTCAGTTGAACAGTGGGTAGGTATATATGTAGGTATAATATTAGTTTGGTGATCGACGAAATTATTTCGACTGAAACTGTTATTAATTGTAATCGTCAACGGATCGTGCAGCACTATAATCTTTATAGCTGTTTGTGAATTTCGACGGTTTTGTAGTTTCGTTTTGTACAGCCGATACGTAGGTAGGTATAATAAACCTAAACTCTTCGGAGGTTTTTGAATATTACATCTGCTTAGTAAATTAGTCGATAGTTCTGTGTAACTTGGAGGTATTTATTATTTTGTTTTTGTCAATGTCAATTTTCTAAAATTTTAATTGACAGTTTCTTTGCTATTCTTATTTAAAATTGAATATTTAGGTTAACATGACATTCTTTACTGCTTACTTTTATACCGTTCCTGGAAAACATTTGTGACACTTTTCTATATAATTACAAAATATTATGAAACGCGTTTTATGTTTACTATTTAGCAAGTCTAGCTTTGTCACTGTCGTTTTCGTTTTATTTTATTCGTCTCTATAATATGGTTTCATATACTATTTTAAACAATTTATTTGAATAAATAAAAATAAATGGTAAAAGTTCAGTGAATTGGTACCTACCTATCTATTAAGATTTTGAAACGTGCCGAACAATGATTAAATTTTAACTCTGTAGTCTGAACCTTAAGTTTGTGAATGGTTAACAGAAATCTAAGAAACTCAATAAGTAACTACAAATAAAAAATAATGAAAATACAATTATATTACATATAAAAATATTGTGTAACAATAAAATGGAAGATATATATATTTTGCATTAAATTGTATTCCTGTGCTTTATTTTTGGGATAAATATATTATTATACCCTTGTGTACACATCCGAAGGATACAATATTGGGATAACTCAATACATTTCCTATTTCAATCTATTTTGTTTTAAATGAGATTTGTTAATATGTCGGTTATTCCTTATTGCTATAATGGAAGTTATTTTTTTTTTTAATGTAGCAACTCTATCTATATAAAATGTTTTTTTCATCTATGGATATTCATAAAGGAAAATTTTTCAAATGGTTCTTTATAGTTTAAATATTATTTAAATATGGATACATCGTACATGTAAAGTATATCCCAGTATAATATTTTTTTAGAAATACCGTTCAGCTATACATTTATTCAAAAATATACACTAAAGTGTGTTTTTAAAATTCCAATTTTCTATTGAAGTCTACCAAAATATTATTCAGATATTTTAGCTACACCTATTCAATAATCGTATAGGTACACTAACAACGAAAATGGATACAATTTATATTGGTTTAACTTCTATTTCCCGTCAGCGGACCATCTGTGGTTATTTATCTATAATATCTTTTAACATGACAATTTATTTGACATTTGGTTAAAAATTAAAAAGGAATTTCCGGAGTTGCATCAAGTTTTGTATTTCATTTAACTAAATATTACGTGCATCCGATCTTATTTAATTTCAATTAAAACTAGTATGGTGTATAATATTTTGAAATGATTTTGATATGACAAAACGCGAGGAAAATGTGATTTCCTCTGAAAGTTTAGATTAAATTAAATTTGTACTACGGGACCCAATAATCGATCGTATTAAACAATGTCAATGTTTGAATGGAAATACTTTTACAACATAACATGGATGCATTTAAGAAAAGCTATCGTAGGTATATCTATAAATATTATAATTATAATAATTAATTATTACTATCGTATATACACGATTATGATTGTGGTTTATTTGACATTTTATATTTTCTGTTTTATCGATGAGAGAACCTATAATTGTGATATAAAATAGACAATGATGACTCTCAAAAGTTGAAGTTGGGCCCAATTCAAACACTAACCCACTTTCTTCATAGTTTTGTTTCAGACGTTTGTCAATATTATATGCATATTGTAGCATACAGTACCATTTAAATAAATTACATTTTCCATCTTTCAGTCATTGAGTAAATAAAATAGCACTTCCGTAGCACTAAGTCTGCATATGCAGTTGCAGCAGTAATCTTACTACTACAAGTTCATGAACTCGCTAGACAGTTTATACTTTTACCGCCCATCCACTCTTTTGGATAAAACTATATAAGTATTATTGGAAAAAAAGTACACAAAAATATATAACTAAATTATTAATCGTTTTCCGTTGCAAGTATAGTGCCTAAGACAAGAAATGCTGTACTTTATAATAATCGTTAGAACTTATTTTTATAGTAAGTTGTATCCCATACAATTGCAGCTAATGTTGTAATTAATCTAATTTTATGCTATAAACTAATTATACTGTGCTATTATAGTTGAATCTTTTTTTTTATTCGTTTTTAACAACTTATACCTGGTTGCGTATTATATATACGGTGTAAAATATTTCAATCACTAAATAGTAAATATTTTAAAATTTTTAATAATATTATTTTCATATATCAATATTTTATAATATATGTACCGTAATTAATTATTTATATGATTTTTTTACGCCATTTAATGATGATGCGATTAAAATCCGTGTAATATTTTATTGCTCATACCTACGCATATTATGAGTATATATTTCATCCTTTTTTTTAGATTCTGAACGGATAGAGTAGGGTTATTTATTTTGATTTTTATATATTATATTTTCACGCTATTGAATTATTTTTCCCCTCACACACCGACGCGGTTATAAAAATAATACAATAAAAAAAAATCGCACCTCGACGATCTGCTTATACTAATGTGTTTATCGAAATGATTACAGGCATGAAGCCCCGGATGAAGAACCACTTCCGGGCGCACCAGCTGTCCGTGTGGCTGCGGCTCATACCGGAACTGCACCGGGCCGGCATGGAGGACGTGATGCTGCGGCACAACCTGTTCCGGAACCACGACGACGCGGAACTGTACGAGGGAGTGGTGAGGCCGGACCCGCTGTCTAGGAGAGCGCCGCAAAGGGCCACGGTCAACCGATTCACGGCCAACGGCACGGTGGCTGAGGTGGTGCAGTCGCTGACGACCACGGGTAGGCCGCAGTGGCCGGCGGCGGAAGCGACCACGTGCGTGCCACCGGCGCGCGGCTCGAGCGCGGCCAACGCGTCCACGTCAGCCGAGGACGCGCTGGCCACGCTGGGTGCGGCTGGCTACGCAGCCTATTCGACAGCGTTGCACGTGACTATCGCACTGGGAGTGTCGCTGCTGGTGCTCAACGGCCTACTGCTGGTGATAATATGTTATCAGAAGGACAGGTTTAAGTGTCTGCAACATCACCAGCAGCACCAGCACCAGCAGACGGTTGGTGGCCAAGAGGATTCGGTCAGGTATAAGGCGGCCACCGTGCCGGACGACCGACTGCAGCAGTCGGCCGCTGTAGTGGTCGACAAAGCGGGCGGGTACGACGGGCGCCATCACCACATGCAGCACCATCACCATCAGCCGGCTCAGCAGATGCATCTGGCCGCGGACGCGGTGGCCGTGGACATGGAACAGAGACATCACCACCACCATGGGACCGGCGGCCACCATCAGCACCACCACATGCATCACCATCACGTCCCGGCCCCCGCCGGGGGACAGCATCCACCGCTGCCTCAGACGACAGCGACGATGACGACGACGACGCAACAACAGCAGCTGTCGGCGGCAACAGCGGCGGTGCGCGTGGCCGCCGGACACGACATGACGTTCCCGAAGGCGGCCAAACCATCGTCCAGACTGCTGCATGACCACCAGGTTGGTGGTGGGGCGGGCGGTGGGGGTGGCTGTCCGCCCAATGGATCGCTGGTGCACGGCACGCTTCCCAAACCGCCTCCACCGCCCAGATCCTCAGTGGGTGTGCAGTCGCAGGAGTCGCAGCCTCTGCTCGTTCAGCAGGGCGTGGGCATCGGGCAGATGCCCAAAACTGGTACGCTCAAGATGCCCGTGGCCGCCATGAGTGAAATGAGGGTCTGACCGTCGCTTCAGTCGCTTCTACTACACCTGCAGTCGCTCCGCTCGTGCCGGTTGGCGCAGTTGGCGTGTATAATAGTATGAAATGGTACGACGACTGTTATACAACATGTCGTGTTCGTTGTTGTTATGGTCCTATTGTCGTTGTCGTCGTTGTGGTTGTGGTTGTGGTTGTGATCGACCCCGCAGTATTATAAAATAAAACAATATTATCGTTCGACTTGAAAATACTTACGGCTTGAAACGTGCGGCCGTCTTCCGACGCGGTTCATCGGACACCGGCAAATGACGCGCCGCCGGTCGTAACGCGCTCGTTGTGCTTATATTATATTCGTACCGTGGGCTCTGATACCATGTAAATAATAATAATATATATATCATATTATAACATATTAAATCGTTTATTCCGATACTTATTATTGTTGTGTTGTGGTTCATCACTGTCGTAGTAGCCGAAAACGGTATAATTATAATATTATTACGTTTTGTTCGTTTTAATTATAGAACAGTACCTATAATTATTTTATTTATGTTATTATTCTGTATAATAGATGTATTCGTAATAATATAATCGATCGCGTTTGACTGTATACGCCAATAATATTATGGTTCTGAAGTCAGAATTTTGATAGGGTATTATTTGATTTTCGCAAATGTGGTGTCCTCCGACCGGACGTGCCGAGAGTTTTATGCCCGCGAACGGTCAACGGCGACCAATGATACGGTCGGATCGTAGTCCAACGCCTACAGCGACGTTTTTATTGGTTCGTTTTTATTCTGAAACGTAAACGACGTGACCGACCTGTTTGTAATTATTTTTATGGCCGTGCGTAATATTATGTTATAGACTTTAGACGATTCAAATATAACAGTCAAAAGTCGTTTGATAAATGATATACCATATTGGTAATATTATTGTGTCGAGCAGGAAGTAAATCGCACATCTTTAAGTGACACGATTTCATCGTTTGTAAGGGGATTTATGAATAAGTCTCTAGGATAGGTTTATCATCTTAAGATTGCGAAAAAACGACATCAGCTGTTGATCTACTCGCTATCAAATCAAACCGTAGAAGCTGCTGCTCAACAAAATATGCCATATACATAAACTAAAATAAAATATATAACTGCGGGAAGAACTATACTATATATTGTAATATTGTTTTTAAATAATATAGGTGGGTAGTTGATAAAAATTTAGACTAAATGTTTCAAAATATAAATAATAATACATACTTAAGTATAATATTATGTTGTTTTAACTGGTCGACTAAAGTTTTTCATAATCTTCGATTGATATTATAATTTAAACAAATAAAATGTCTAAGCTAAATTGTTGTATTGTCATATTTTATACATTATTGGCGAGTTTAAAATCTGAAATTAAAACCTGACATAATATTTTATAAATAATAAATCGTTTACCCGCTATTGTTGCAGAATACAATAATTTAGTCACAATTGTCCATCGTTAAAATCGCATCTGTTTAATATTATCAATCCCATATTATTATTATTATTATGTAGACAATAGTTTCACGATCTGTACAAATTGTCGGTGCATTACTCCGTGCACGCCTGTTAAAAGTATATAATATAATGCCTAAATTATTGCAGAGAAAACCTAACTGGCCACACGTTATCATAATATTATATAGAATATTACCTATGCCCTATCGACTTCAGCACCATCCCTTTGAAAAGTTGATGCGGCAAATCTAGAAACGTTCTGCCCGCCACTGCTTACGCGTTGACAACGATGGTTTTTTTAAGGAAACGATCTAATTAGCCATATTATAATATCTCAAACTCGCGTCTATAACATCGTATCGTAGGTACATTATTATTATAGATAATCTTCAGCTGATAATCATAGATATTATAGAGATATCATAATAATTTTATGATATCGTATTTTACTGTTGTAGTTCGTACCTATACTCGGTAATCGCGGTACAGCCAATCAACTGCGTGTATTATACTGTAGGTAACATCGATTCACTCCACAGCGTTTGATTTTAGTATTTTACGGTAGACGTTTTTTTTTTGGAAAACAATGTTTTCCATCATCGTATAATTTTATTTCACTTCGAGGGTAGTGTGGACAGAGAAAAAAAAACGTAATTTATATTAATGAGTTATTCGGTTGAGTCCTGCGGACGGAAGGACTCGCACCGACGCGGACGCTACGACTATATTGTATTAGCCACCTGCCTTGTAAAAATAAATAATTACAAAATTAATTTGAATAATTGCATCGAATCGACCTACTGCAGCCCACCCGCCGCCCATTTCGGGACGTTTCGTTTCATTGTACTTACATAACATTATAAACTTGTGTATTAAAACTTTTCATTTCGTCGTCATTGCGCAGTTAAATAATATTTCTCTCGATGTCATCGACGAAATCGTCGACATCATAATATTAATATGTATTATTATTATATATTTTATTGTGATTATCGTATTAGTTTGTATTGTTACTATATTATATTTTATACAAAAATATTGATGTTTTTTCAAAGTAAATTATATTATACCTACTATGTTTTCACATTTTGCGAAAAATGGCCACAAAATATTATCGTTTATCAGTTTCTTGAGTTTATGAAATATTTCACAATACCTGTTACAACAACACAATATAATAAATATCCAACAAACATTATGACCTATTTGACCTACGTTTAATCTTCAGTGCGCATTTAAACGATTTTTTAGCAGGATTGTAATTCTTTCATTCATATTATAATTTGTATTTGTGTTTCGTACGGTGAATTCTCATCAATTATGGTTCGCGCATGCACACGTGGTAGAAAGGCAACTATACCTAATAGTGTTATCAACAATGAGTTGGACTAACTTATGTTTACAAATTGCTATTTCATTATGATCTATAATTGAAATACAATTTTAAACTGGCAGGTGTATATTATAATAATATGTAGGTATTTATTACGTCATAATTCTAACGTTTCGTCATTAAAAGATTTTAAGAAAACTGTGGAATTATTATCCCAAGTGCCTGTGCAATATTACTTATAGGTACATCTTAATTTAATGCACCGCGGACAACGTTATCCCGATTTGTCGATATCCCCGAAACATAGTTAGTCTCATTTTGATTAAATAACTAGATATTCAACCAGGACACATGTCAATTATATTATGAGCCCAAATCTAAAACAATCACATTTTCAATGATTATAACAATTTTGTGACAAACTATCACCAAAAAACCCTTACTTGCAGCGTTGATTTATTTCATGATAATTGATCATTTTTAGTCTGATACAATAACCTTTTCCGCAGATCTATCGCTTACCGATATGTTTTAGAATATCGTAAATAGGTATACCTAAGTGTTTAAGAATATTTTCCGTAAAAACAACATAAAATTAGAGAAACGGAAGGTAATTGATGGCATAATGTAGAAGAACAAGTAAAATTGAAAACAAAAAACAATATTCTTGTTATCCTATGGTTTTTCCTTTACAGAACCATCGGTATAAAAGTTTTTTTCTCTAGAACTACAAACATAATAATAAAACAAAAAACTTTTCTTATTACTTTGACCGTATTAAAAGTTTGTTATAATTTATTTAACAGAAAGGTTAAAGTGATTTTTTTACGCAAAAATCTTTGAAAAAGAAATATATATAATATATACGTAATATTATCTTCCTTTTTTTTTATTATAATATCATTATGAATCAAATAAAAAAATATATAAATTTCAAACAAATCTGATTGATTCTAAATAAAAGTATAAAACATGTTCGTCAGAACTTTTAAAATTTTTCAGAAATTATATCATACTGTTATTAGGTTTTCGATATAAAAATATAGGTACTGTGTATTGTAATTTGAGGAAAATTAATAATTTGGTCCATGCCATTAAATAATGACACATTACCTTTAAGTACTAAATATATTGAACTTTTGTGTATGTATGTGTATAGTGTAAATATCACATTTCCATAAAATACTCGTAATAATATTAATAATAATAATAATAATAACTATAACATAACAATGTCAGGAGATTTTGATGTTTAATAATTTACATTATGCATTATTTATCACAACTTTCGTAGCAGCTAGCGAATAACAGTATAAAAAACCGTATAAATTTCTATTTCTAATGCAATTATTTATAATCATTAAACAAAAACTTTTAAAGGACGTATTTTGAATTATTTTCTTCCTGTATCCACTGTATATGTGATTCTATATTTTATGTTTTAAAATGTACCCATTATTCCGTTATAGTAATAATATTATTATGTCTATCCAATACAAACTTCAGGTGAAAATAATTTAAAAAAAATTGTTAGTCGAGCCAATTAATCGACTCCAATACAACGTGAAAAAATATTTACTCAGACAACAATAATAGCCCGATAAAAGCGCAAACCTAGAGACCGACGCATTCTCGTTTCCAATGAATCAACGACATGATTTCAAAGTTAACAATTCATCTTGCACATATTATTGTGTCGGCGGCAAATCCGTAATTTCATTAATAACTGTCTGTATGTATTATGGCAGGTAGGTAGAAAACCATTTTGCGTCGATAACCGAACGATAATATAGTTAATATTGAAATAATTTAAATGAAAATCGTGAAATATGCTGCAGGAAAACTTTCGGACTACGTCTGAGCACAGTTTATTGAAGTCTTCCGTACACGAATGACACGGAGTCGCTAAATGATGCAAAATATTATTCACTGCAGTACTCATATATTAGCAAAATTAGCTTTCTTTTGTTTTAAGTCGACAATTATTATAAATTGCATTGTCAACCTAAAATACTTCGGAATTGTTTATCGAGTGAATTTTTGTTCGTATGTAACTACAATGACCATCGCAGTTGACACGATTTTGAGTAAATGCCAACATCTCCAATATACAGAGAATACCATTAATAAATTGATAAGCGTGATACTGTAATAATATTATTATTTGGTGGAGTCTTAAGAGTATTGTTTTCGTTTTTAAAACGAATTATCGAGTTTTTTCTTTCAATAAATTAAGGAAAGTAGAAGTGCTAGAATACTAGGTAGATACCTATTGCGTACGTAATAACTATAACCTAACTAATATTTTGATATTATATGTATATTTTGGTGTTTGTTATGTTCTGTATTGTGTAATGACGGAAATCCGAGTATTTTACTGTATGAAATATTCGTTGAACTACTAAATTTGTAAATACAATTTTCGTATCTTTTTATGTTTGTTTATATTTTAATACTAGCGAATATATATATATATATATAATATATTATTTATTATAACTGTAAACTATTTTGTAAGTAGAACCTATAATATTATATTTGTATAATGTCTATCACTGTTAAAAAAAAAAAAAAAATTGTAAACTTAAACTATATCAAGATGTTGTTATTGTAACCATTATACACTGTTAAGAAATTATTATTATTATTATTAATATTAATATTAATATTATTACTATAATTATTATGTTAATATTCAATAAATATCCGTTGTGCATTTATAAATAATGTTGAACTTTTCTACCTAGAGTATCAAGCAGTATACTTACAACCGTCAGTTGATTGTAAAAAATGGCATTGATTAATATTTATTATAATAAACTTTGTTAGTAAATCAACACCAGTAACGACCGAAATAACTTAATTATCAGTAACCTAATGTGCATATTATGCGATAAACACCTGAAACTAAAATTCTAAATTTTATACCCAAAATCAGCAGACATAGGAAAATATAATTATAGTCACATGGTAGTTTATTATGATGTGTAAAATGAACAATAATATTATACAAGAAGTTACTTTAACGGTGACAGTGATTAATCAAAATAATAAAAAAAACCATCATCACGAATTTTCATTTAAATTTAATTATATTAGCCGTAGCAAACATATTGAATTGACTATTAAATTGTAACGTTACTCCATATATTGTGATAATTTTAAATCAGAAACTTACAAATCTATAAATTGCCTTGATGAAATGTAACAGAGACTGGATATTAGGTCATAAGTGTGACAAGACAATATTATAATTGTACATAAAAATGAACAAATCTATTTATAAATACCAATGTATAATTTTAATAATTTTAAAAAGCTAAATAGTTTAAATTTACCATCTTGTCATGTCTTACATGTTGGAAGTAGAATATTATTCTATTAAAAAAAAATGTCATACGAAATCATTTTTAGAAAACACGAATCTAGATAGGTAATAAAACTAGATGAGTCTACATTTTTAGGTGTAAATTATTTTTCAAATAAATTGTAGTAAAATATAATCGGTCATCACACATATTGCTTAAAATAAATGTACCTAATTACAATTTTAAAAATTAATATTAAATATTTTTCAGTACAATTTAAAAGATTATAAATAGTGTAATATTACATAAAAAATATGTTAAAACTGATAAAATGACCAGTTAACACAGAATTTATAAAGTTAATTACAACGCATTCATTTTTTTAGAGAAAGCTTCATTATTAAAATGTCGAATTAACTACTTACAAAGATGAATTTTTTTTTTAATTGACAGTTGTATATTTTTTATGATCAGGTATTTATGTTACAAAGTACACATGAATTGTTTTCTTATGAAAGTAAGGAAGTATGACCAATGTTCGTATCCACTATATAAATGTAATCATAGACAATTCATTGGTTATATGTTCTAACTATCCATACTATTCCTTAATCACTAAAGAGGTGATTAACATCGTTTAATTTTCCAGCCAAAATATGAATCATAATAACTTTGAACAATAATTAGTAATAGTATTATTTTGATTAGGTACTCCGCTAGCCACATTGTTAAATTGTATTAATACGATCTCGTACGTGACTATAGTTCCAGCAACCTAAATAACCATGATGAAATGAAACATTAGCAAAAAAACTATTCCAAAGGATATAAATTATTTTCTGACCAACCGTTAGCATAAACGTCCTTGTGACGGAGAAAAAATTACATCCAGTAAATGATAATTCATCAGACATCACTTGCATTAAAAATCTTTCTACCTGTAATTAAAATAAACGAATTTGGTTATTAATTTAAATGATAAATAAGCATGTCATTTTTAAATTAAACTTAAAATCACCTCGACTCCATAACACTCTGCTGGTACAGAAAACAAGACAGCTTTTGGCTTTTTGCTTTGATCATTAATGGATGCGACGTACAAAGACACCACGCATGTTCTTCCAACTAAGTAGGTAAATAAAAATGCGAAACATAGAGCCTCCCAAGGGCTGAGCATAGGTCTAAAAATATTGTTGTTAATTATTACTTATTAGCCTTAATGAAACGTACGAAAATATATTTTTCAAATACTTCAAGCTGTTGAGAAGTTGGTAGCAAATAAAGTACAAATTATGACCAAATGATAATAATATCACTGGAGATAGAAATTCATCAAAGTCATGAGTTAACGACGCTAAAATATTGTATGTTTCCCTAGACTTTCTCCAATACACACTTGGAAGCACCTAAAATTTAAATGAAAATAAATTATATATACTTTCTTAACATACATTTACCTACGATTTACATAGCTAGGAGTAATATTTAACCAATAAAAATATATTACTCGTATAGGAAGTAATAGCGAGTAAGTGTAAATTAATGGACATAAGATTTTTGTGAATATGTGTTGTTACTTGTTTATAATATATTTTAGTTTAACAAATAATTCATAATCTTACAGTTTTTTTGCGAAAGTGAACTGATATACCTCCCTGCTATACTTAGTTAGGTTTTTATAATCAACCAATAATAAATTTAATTTATATAACATAAAATTAATTTATTATACTTTTTTATCGTAATATTTTTAGACTCTGAGATGATCGATGGATCTATTAACTTTTCAATGATAATTGTGTGTTTTATTTTTTTATTTTTTATTTGTTTTTAATTTTTTTGTCTGTAATTACCGTTTTGGGCAGTAACACTGCTTCAATTTTTTTCAACAGTATCTTGTTTGATGGCATAGTGAATCTAGTTGATGCATTTAGCAGGTCAAAATTTGAAATTCTCAATAGTTTTCAATGTGCAGGGGCAAAACCAAACAAAAATTAAGGAAAAATATAAATTATTTAAATTTTTAAGATTTTTAAAATCGATTTCGGTTTTTTTGTGTAATTCGGGTACAAATAACCGTGGACACATGAAAAATTGGAGATTATCAAATATTTTGACTTGTTTTGGGTGGTTTACGACCATTTTTAGTTTTTTTTTTCTATAAATGTCAATTAAATTGTATTTGTTAGTCAAAAAAAGTGAAAAATTAATACAAGGCTCCTGATATAGAAGATGCAAAACATTAAAAAACACAGGCCCACATTTTGTATGAACATTTAAATTTCAAATTTTGACAAAATTTATCAAATTTAAAATTAAAAGTAATTTTGGAGGAGTTAAAAATGTACCTATACAATGTTCAACTTTCATAGTTAAGATTGAGCATTTAAAATAAGATTCCATGTAAATAGGTAAATAAATTACTTTATTAACAATAATATCATAAAATATGCTTAGTGATATATCATTGGCTGTCTGACCGACGTTTTGTTATTATTTAGGTATAAGTTATTACTAACTTTTCCCCTGACACTGGCTAATTTTTGGTTTAGCTGCTTGAATTTGTCCGTCAAAGCACAGGCTAGTATGATTATTAGTAAATCTATAAAATTCCAAGCAAAAGAATACAAACAATCAAAAAACTTCAAAATTACAGCTACTGCGAACGAGTAGTTTATATACGTAAAGAATGTTTTCCATGTAAAAATGTAATGTTTAAAAATATCTAGTCCATCCGATGAACAATGTATAGCTTTCAATACTCCCGTTAAAATAGAAGCCAAGTGTTCAACTGTAAAAAAAAAAATAATATGGATGTAATACTACACTAATTATACAATAATATTGATTAATGCACAATATCGATTTTTGCATTACAGTAAGTATTCGCATAAGAATTTTATCATTGCTCTGAGCTATATCATAAAACATTTTTTTCTTCTTATATTTTACATACTAGTTGAAAGTATCAAGATGATACATGAAAACATTTTAATCCTAAATGCCATATTAGATGGGTATCCATATTGTTTCATCTCTCGTTCCATTAGTTCCCATTTTTCCATAACTTTTGGCCATTCCCTTGCCAAATGTATAAAAAGTGTATACATGATTAGTGTACCTCCATGAAATAATAAATCACCTGTAAACCGAATAACCTTATATTTAAAAGGAAATACCTGCCACCTGTTCATTTAAAAAAATTATTTTTTTAGTGGATTATAATCTTTTTTTTATAATTATATTATGGCATTACATAATATGTAACTATTTATTCTACTATAAGTGTAAATAGATATCCATGAAAATTCAATTAAAACATAACATTTTTTTTTTTACATTTATTGGTTTTTATACAATCTTAAATCTTTAATGGCATTTACGATAAGCATGTGTGCGAAAGAAAATATTTATACAGGGTGATATTTTTATCATTGAACACTCATTATTTCAAAAAGTATTAATGTTTAAGAAAATATTTTTTTACATAGTTTCAAGTTGTTAAAAAACAATATTTTTATTAAAAAATTATATTTTTAAATATTTTTTATCCTTTTAATTTTTTAATTTTTTTACTTTTTTGAATGACAACATGTAATTTTAATTTGATATTCAAAAACAGAATATTTTTCTGAGTATTTCGATACATAAAAATTGAATTTAGGGCAATTAGTTTATGAGTTATAAGTATTTAAAGTTTAGATGAGCAGAGTAGTGGACAAACATTTCGCGGGGTAACCCCGTACCACTCTACTCCGCTCATCTAAACTTTAAATACTTATAACTCATAAACTAATTGCCCTAAATTCAATTTTTATGTATCGAAATACTCAGAAAAATATTCTGTTTTTGAATATCAAATTAAAATTACATGTTGTCATTCAAAAAAGTAAAAAACTTAAAAAATTAAAAGGATAAAAAATATTTAAAAATATAATTTTTTAATAAAAATATTGTTTTTTAACAACTTGAAACTATGCAAAAAAATATTTTCTTAAACATTAATACTTTTTGAAATAATGAGTGTTCAATGATAAAAGAATCACCCTGTATATACAAGACGTTGAGACGTGAAAAGAGAAGTCACTCAGCAGTAATAATCTAACATAAAATACAAATTATATAAAAAATAAATTGAAAGCTTTATTACCAATGACCTCATATGACAGTCCATTACTATACAAGTTGCATACTACTAACGAAACCATTAAGACAGAAGAGCCAACCAAGATAATGCTGTATGCCAATATCCAGCTGAACCAATTAAAACTAAAACATATTATAGAATATCAAACACATGATAAAAGATAAATACTGATTGTCAATATTAGAAAATATAATATCACCTGAAATAATTTTTGTACTGTAGATCTCAGGTTTTATAGAATTAAATATATTTTTATTTATAGATTTAGAAATAATATTATGTATATCTAGTACTTACATGATATGTACCTATATGTTCACAGTAAGGTGTAAGTATAAATTAATATTTCAGCTGAAGATGAAGATGGAAGGGATTACCAAAATACACATTTGAGAAACTTTCAAAATATTAACCGTTATTATATTATAACAATACGATATAGTTATACGATAATAGTTATAGTGCAATACAACTTACCATAGGTCTTTGTATTAATTAAAAATAAAATGAAGATGATCAATATATTATTTTTAAGCCCACATTTATTATTTAAAAATTTCAACTTATTCTAACTTTGTCAATTTAATAGTTAAAAACAAACTTTATATTCGAAAATTATTTTAATAAATAGTCTACGTGCGTATCGAAAATAGGTTCACATTTTGTCAAATTATTTATTTCAGTTCTCTGTTTCAACAATCACCATCCAAATATCATAATTATATCAAAAATCGTAAAGCTGAAATACTTAGTATTTTAGTGGTACCTCTTACCTTGAATTACCTATTTACAAGGTATTAGGATTTTCCTAGTTGATATTATTTATTAAAATGTTGAGTACTATAAAATAACAGTTTTATAGACACAAAAAAAATGAATAGATTATGGAGAATAAAGTGTATCCGATTAATATAATGAAATCTAACTGAATTATTCACAGCGTATTACTCACACTAAATAACTAGTATTTTGTCTTCTAATGCCTTGAACTGGTAAAAGACCGGACATTTGCATCAAAATAAGTAAAGGAGTGATGGCTCTGTGCAATGAATTTTTATCGCTTATTATGTCCCTCCTTATACTTTCTTCCAAGGCTTTTATTCTAACGTAGTTTACCGGTTCATCTTGTATAGTTGTATTTCATGCGTTTAAAAAAATAAAAATAAAATATTATAATTAACATTCATAATTATTTTATACGAAAAAATAACCATGCTAGTTTTTCACTATATATGAGATTTAACTTTTTGAAATAATAAATATTCTAAAAATAATTCATAAAAAAATTAATATTACCGATATTCCTCTTGTTTTCTCTTAAACTCAGTGTGTTATAATTCGAATGGACCAGCAAATCGGTTAATGAACTTTGTTTCAACTGCTGTTTATATCCAGATTCAATGAAATTCCTGTCTTTGGGCCGGAAGGTGTTTTCGTCAGACATAGTAAAAAATGTGAAAAGTGGTATTGTCACTACAACACAAGTAAACTCAGCACACTAAATAACTTTAATGAGTTTGAATTCATAGAAATTCAGAATTGTTAAATATTCAATTTCAAAAAAAAAAAATAAAGTGCTCGGTGATGTTATCAGAATATCTGCCACAGGGAATACACGTTATTTGATAACTTGATTATAGTTATATTTGACGTTATGAAACGTAATTTAAAACAAACCCTAAGTACTTAACTTTTAACTATATATTTACTAAATATTTAACGCCTCTCGAAAAGTATACATATTATACAAAGTAGTGCAATAGACAATAATACATAAATAATATGTGTTTGGAGTATGAAAATTGCTATTCAATAATGCCCGAGTAGTTTCAATATGTATTTTCGTATGAATTTTTGTTTAGTACATTTAACATGCAATTATATAATAATAATATAATATGTAATCGTCAAAGAAAACCTAATTTTAATTTTATTATTTTTGTGGCAAATAACATTTCTTATTGTTATTTTAACAATACTAATGATTGATGTTAAAATAAAGATAAAATATTATTATGCATGAATCGAAGTAAAATAATATTTTACTATTATACTACGCTTATACATAATACATCTAAAAAATAAAAATACACTACTTTTAAACAAGACTATAATTTATTTATCAAGGGGATGGAGTGGCCGAGCGGACTAAGGCGTCGGTTGCGACGCATACCGAATGCGGTTCGGCCATGGGCGACATTTTCTTCGGGCAAGTCATGGTGTCCGGAGAACAAGTGCCATCATTCCCCACCCGAGCATGGCAGATACCTACGGGGACAAAAATCAAAAATTCTGCCAAAAAAACACACACGTGTAAACAAATCTACAGTACCCTCCCCTACAGTGCCACAGGCTAATGGCCTATAGTAGTTGAAGCCTTAACCCTAAATAAAAAATAAATAATTTAGTTATTCTATCGAACGATAACATCAATTTTAAAATACCTAATCATTGTGAATTGTTTTTTCTGTTCAAGAATCTGGAAATCATAGTTTTAACTCTTTAATATGACATGTTACTATTGTATAATTTTTTCAAAATTTTTTTTTTTTATTTTCTAAAATGCATATGCCTGCAGGCGCCAATACTTCAATTCAATTTTTTTTTTTAGTAATTTAACTGTAGTTGAGTTTCTTTTACAGACTTGCATATTGATAACCAGCTGCAGGTGCCCTCTGTCTTATCATTCTTTAATGAGCTAGTTAAACATTATAAACTGTTTTTTCTGTTCATGAATCTGAAGATTGTAGTTTGAACTCATTAATCTGTGTTAATACTGTTTAATTTTTAAAATTTTTTTTTTTGTTTTCTAAAATGCATTTGACTGAGGGCGCCAACACTCCCCTTCAATTTTTTTTACAGACTTGAATATTGTAACCTGCAAGTGCCCTATGAATATACTCATTTTAATGAACTTATTATTTCGAATAGTTTGTTTTGTTTAAGAACTGGAATTTTTAGTTTGAACTCATTTATGGGTGTTTTTTTCTGTATACATTTTTCTAATCTTTTTTTTGTTCCTACACCCCCAGTAAATTTTTTTATTTGTTGAATTTTTTTGTAGAGTATTTTTTAAACACTGATAACCTGATATCTTCTGTATTATAATTCTTTAATGAGCTAGTTAATCATTATGAACGGTTTTTTCTGTTTATGAATCTGAAGATTGTAGTTTGAACTCGTTTATATGTGTTCTTATTTTTGCGAAATTTTTTTTTGTTTTCTTAAATGCATTTGCCTGCGTGCGACAACACTCCTCTTCAATTTTCTTTTTAGGAATTTCATTCTTGTTACATTTTTTTGATAGACTTAAATATTGATAATCAGCAGGTGCCCTCTGTATTATCATTGTTAAATGAGCTAATCATTGTCAATTGTATTTTCTGTTTAAGAATCTGAACATTTTAGTTTGAACTATTTAATGTGTGTTCCTTCTGTATAAATTTTTCTAAGTTATTTTTTTTGTAATCTAAAATGTGTTTACCTGATTTAGACTCAGCACGGTTAAGACGTTACTGGTCTTTATTTCTGCCATTTTGATCATTTTTCCGGTAAATCATAAATTATAATATTATAATAATATAGTTTTAATATATTTGAAAATTAAGGTAAGGCGGCGCATTGTATAGGCAATTCAGCTACAACATAGTTCATTGTTGTTTGTGCACCTCACATACTTGCAACGACTTGACTTCCGATAAACATTTCTTTATTAATGTGTAATAATATTAAACACTATGCGTGGTTCAGTGGGTATGTAAAATTCTAGGAATCCGTTTTATTAATAGCTAAAACCGCGAAATTAATGCATAAGCAGATTAAACGGAGTCGTGTCGTCGGTTTAAAATGGAAAAAAAGTCTTCATTTTGTTTACAGGCATCTATAGTTGCCAGTATAAAATGTAGACCGTGTGACTTCATACTATTACTATTTAATTTTTCTAAAAATATTGTCGTGCACAATTTATTAGTATATTTAATTTCAAAAGTAAATTTTAGTTCTAAAACCTAAATACCAACAAGGTCAGATTTGGCTGGCGCGTCTATGAATTTTAACATTATTTCCTTGTTCCCGATCAAAGTGCGAATTACCACGCAGAACGGCAAATTGAAACACTCTTTTTGCTTCCAGTGGTAACGTCATCTATGAATAAAAAGAGACCGGTTTTAACCACTGACTTAAATCGTCGGTCAACACTCCATCGCGATAGTACCTACAAGTTACAACGAATTAAGAACGATATTGCAAAAATTAATTGTCGGAAATCATTAGTTTTTAATTTAAAATGACATTGAAGTCTGAATTTGGTGGTCAGACTTATTTGAAAATTATAGCCAATTGAAATTTTGGGTATTTTAATAAATACCCGGCGTACCCGGCTGCGCTCCCTCAGACAATTATAATCAAAAACATCCATCGACTTGTTATGTACTTATGTAAAACCACCATGGGTGGGTGTCAGAATTATTTTTGCTCCATCATTCTAAAACGTTGATTTAACTAGGTTTCCGAAAATAAAAATTGAAAAATTTGCGTGGGCGCTACACTATATGGATTATAACTCATAATTTAAAAAATATTTTAGGGGTTTTAAGAAATTGTCTTCAAATTATCACTTTTAATTATTTTATATAGTGATATTATTGGTAGGATAAGTTTCTATTTTATAATAGATCAATAGAAAATATGTTACCTAAATCACGTTTTTTTATTTTCGAGTTTTGGACAAGTACCTACACAGATAACTTTTAATAAGTCATATTGAAATTTAATTAGGTAGAAAAAAATATAACTTCTCAAACACGGTGTCTAGGGGCACTGGTGTGAGAATGTATTAGAATGTCTATAAACTTGTGGACCTGCTGTTTATGTAGTTCTATTTGTCATGCGAACTATAACAGAATTAGAAAATTAGAATATATACATTGCAGTTCACAAAGATTGCTGTAAATGAACATATGATTTATCAATTATAGGCCGTATTATAGATATTGAGTATAATATAATTATAAGTTCTATGGTATGATACAATTCTACAAAAATGAAGACGGTGTTAAAAGAAATAATACAATTTGTATTTGTGTATAGTTTGATGCGGACTTAAATAGTGCCGCGTGGATAGTGATGTGGCGGTGGTGACCGACGGAGAACTGTCGGGTCGGAACAAACAAACGAAATAAAAATACGAAACAACAAATGACGCACTGATATGTGATTGTTTTGACCTTTATTGGTATAAGAATCAGCGAGAATATTCAATTTAATTTTGTACAAAAAAACGATATCGATTCCGCGGGATCGTGTGTAAGGACGGTGGCGGTCTGTGTCGGTCGGTGTCGTGAGGACGAGAGAGAGACTTAACAATCCGGTTCACCGGACGGCCGGCCGACGGTTCCAGGCGCGTCGTCCGTCGTCGAATGGGGCGGTTTGATTGAGAAGCCACGGCGCGGCTTCCTCGCAAAGGCTGTTTGAATTCAATCAGATTTTGCGCGGGATCGCGTCAAGTTAAGCAGGTAGTATAGGTTTATTGGGCACAAGTTTTATTATAATTATTTTAACTTGTACCTAGCTTGAATCAAATATTGATATTTACATTGTGTCATATAAGCAGGAATTGTAGGTTGAAGCCCTAAAAATTATTAAATAAGCATGCACTTATGCGCTAAAAACTGGCAAAATAATCCTTTAAAAGTTCAGAAATATGCATTCATATGCACTCAAAATCTAAAAATATACATTAAAAAATAAGTGGATTAAAAAATGAAGACATCAAATGCAATTTTTGAAATAGCAAGAATTATCTATTCATATTTTTAATAATTTGACATAGCAAAAATTCTCATACATTTAATATAGTGAAAAAATATAAAATATAAATTATTGCATTTTTCATTAAATTTTAATTTTTCCGTATTATTTCAATAGAAAAAAATGTATGTTGATATAATAATATCAATATATTAATATTAAAAAGGTGGGTAAGTGGATGTCGCTCTGCTGTTTAGTAGGTTACAAGTGGGTCACTGTATAATGGATGCTATTAAATTTGAATTCAATGATACAATATCATTGTATAAGAAAAACGATTCTGAGTGGGGACGGTATGTCAGTCTAGGTTTAAGACAAATTATATACATATCTATGGTATTAAAAAAAATTGACCTATAATAAATTCCAAATTAATCATATCACATTATCACAATATCCATTAGGTACTTATAACACGTTATACATCAACATCAATAACAAACCCTGATACTATCATAGATATATAATAGTACACTTTAGAAGTTTCAAGTAGGTACCCACGAATAATATTATATAATCACAACAAAATAACTAGGTTTTTTAATATGTAATTTCGTTAAAATTTTAACATAAAATGACTATAAAAATTAACTGTGATTGTATATTTTTTAGATTTTTCTTTAAGAGAATTAACTA